TCGTGGGAGTGTCTTCATATCCAAAATCACCGAATCGTTAAATAAGCAGCTGGGTATTCAATTACACCCATCCACGGCGTATCATCCTAGAACTGACGGTCAAACGGAAATTGTTAACAAGTCAATTGAGCAGTATTTAAGGCATTTTGTTAGTTACCAACAGAACGACTGGGAAGAACTCTTACCTCTTGCCAAATTTGCGTACAACAATAGTACACATACTTCGACAGACATATCCCCATTCAAGGCCAACTATGGGTACGACCTTGCTCTGGGCCGAATTCCGACCAACGGGCAATGTATCCCAACGGTTGAGAGACGACTAACCATCATGCAGGAGGTCCAGGACGAACTGAAAGAAACCTTAAAACGAGCTCAAACGGCAATGAAGGACCAATTCGACCGAGGGGTAAGGCCAACTCCAGACTGGGATATAGGGGATGAGGTATGGCTGAGTAGTTGAAATATCTCGACAACACGCCCGAGCGCCAAACTAGACCACCGGTGGTTGGGACCCTTCAGCATCGCCAAGAAAGTATCACCGTCAGCATACCGATTAGCATTACCAGCAACACTAGGACGAGTTCACCCGGTATTCCACGTGTCGGTTCTGAGGAAACACAACCCTGATTCGATCGAAGGACGTATTCAGGAACCACCAGAATTAGTCCAGATAGAAGGCGAGGATGAGTGGGAAGTGAACGAGGTCCTGGATAAAAGAAGAAGACGGGGAAAAGATGAGTATTTGATCAGTTGGAAAGGTTTTGGAAGAGAAGAAGATTCATGGGAACCAATGGCTAACCTTAATAACGCCTCAGAAGCGATCGCCAAGTTTGATCGACAGTTTCCGAAGGCAGTGGAAGAACACAGAAGAACAAGACGGGTATGAGAGAGGGGTAAGGTTTTTTCCCCACGGGGTTTTTTAATACCGCCCCGGGGAGGAGGGCAGGGCCGCGAACAGGGAGCCCGGGCCTAAAACGGGGGATAGTGTTATGATCCTCTATCACGGATCATGGGAGGCTATGTCAAAGACTGTGACACTTCACCCTTGTTGGGTAACTGGAGACGCACACACCAGTTGTAGACCTTTTCCCTCACGCTACAATAACTATCATAGCTGGATCACACCTCTCTCCCTTTGCCCTCACGCGCCAGCACCCAGACCCGGGTCCTAACAGAATCTTACATTGAGATCAGATAAGCTTACATTGGTCATCCAATTGGATTCTATAAATCCTGACACGCAAGAGTGAGCGCATCAGCCCAAAGCTGCTCTTGTCATCCAGCCTTAGTGAGTCTTGCGTCTTGACCCCAAAGTTTGTGTTGAGCCCAAATAGGAAGAGCTTTACATTCCAGGTAAAATCAATACTCATCAAGTGCAGGCCAGTTTTCCAAACCACGCACATCAAGCTTCCCATTATCCAGTATCCCAAAGAAAATACAAAAAGGTGAGGGATACTATTCTCCCCACAATATCCAAATTTTTCAAAACAGATCCAGAGACACAAGTGCACACAAACCTCTTAGTTGTTTTTTACTCTCTCCTTCAAAAAGACGCATCTCCTCAGTTCTGCCAAAGAGCAAATTACAGTGGACTCGTGGATGCCTCAGTCTTGAAAACATAGGTGATATATACATACAATGAGAAATGACTCGTGATCTTTGGCTTCTTCTCACTGTCTTCATTTTGTACATAAATGATCCATTTTTACAACAAAACTTTCATGTTTAAGATTGACTTTCTTGGATATGTTTTCCACAAATCCGTAGAAATATACAGTCAATCATGCAAAGTGATAAATCATGACAGAAAGTGCGGAAAGTGAAGTCTTTTTTCATTGTCAACATACTACATTGAGGTGTTTGGAACCAATCTATCTCAACCTGATATCTTTTTGATACTCTTGAAACAAATGAATGCCCCTAAATGTAATCCAAACCTCATAGCAATCCTGTGGTGTCCCTAAGTTAATGTATTCAAGTGCTTCATGCTCTTAATGGTCCTTTTGATTTAATTAATTGCTTGTCTACAACCTCACGGGCTGGCCTATCAGGTTGTATAAGCAACATATTTCATGGTTTATCTGCAAAAAACCACTTTCTTTTCTATGAAATCAGGGTTAACGTGCAAAATTTATTGAAACAATTGTAAAAAAAATCAATAAAAGGAGTAGGTCAAAAGAAACCAAGACTGATTTGTCCACCAGATCAAATGTGAAGTGCAAGTACAATTGTGTAGTCCAAGTATTTGACAGACTCAAATCAATTCAACGATTTCTTCTGATCTTCCCTGAAAATCTGTTAGGTTATTGATTGATTCTTTATGAACAGCTACACTCTGTGAGTGTGATACTAGGAGTATGGAAGAGGCCTTTTCTGTTGCAGGCTTGCCACTGTGGGTTGGCACCATCAAGTACTCTACCCCAAATTCTATGTAATAATCAAAGTCCCTTGCAGTTTCACTCACTTGATTGATCAAATGAATCAATTGAACACCAGTCACCTATGCTCAAAGAGTATAGCACAAGTGACATTATGTAATGAAGAATGTCTGGTTTTGTATATATTAGGTGGTACAGGTTCGTATCATGATTATTCTGTATTTGAGTGATTTTGATGTTTAAGAGTGGAATCATTCATCTTGCAGTATATGTTGACAATGAGTTGGAAACATTGAAAATATAAAAAGGTTACACTTCTTTATTGTGCATCAACCTGTGGGGATTTTCCATACTAAATCACACAAAAAATAATCAAGAGAAGCCTCAACAATCAAACAAAATCTGCTCTAAGTGAAAATTTTCCAAAAGTCAAGAAAGGTCAAATATCATTTTAGCAGGAAAATAATTATAAATCTACTTACTTCTTATCAAATGTACATGGAGATGTGTGGTGAGCTGGTGACCTTTTTTTGTGGCTTAAAGGTTGTTCTTTGAAAGAATTTTTTCGAAAACTCTCACCTTCTTGACATCCTTTTTATAAAGTTACAAGGGACATGATTATTGTTTCTGAAATTGTTTGTACATATATGGGATTTAAAAGAACATTTCACTTTAAATCACTCTATCTTTTTTTTCAAGGTACATCATGATTCTTACAATTCTCCCAATACAAAACAGAAGCTCTTATGAATTGAACCATTCCCATCATTTCCTTGATGTTTTTTTTCATGATCCAAACCCAAATATTGAAAAGTAGAATAGTTGTATCAAGCACATAAAAAGAGGTCCAAAATGGAATGTATTATTTATTTCAAAGAAGTTTTCCTTGAACAAATCCAACATACACTTCATCATGACAGTTTTCTACAAAACCTCACCTCAAATCTCCAAATCCTCTTTCTATTTCTCTCTATCAGAGGTCGCAGCCACCGGGAGAGCCGTGGCTGTCAGGCCCTGACACTGACACCTGACTGTCAGGACCCCTCACAAACCATGTAATCATGGGTCATAACCCACCACCGAAAGGTTGGCTACTACCTGTCACATCCCCTGTCTTTACTGTGGTCATCCCGTTAACAGACAAAAGACAGTCCTGGTGGAAATCATTCAAATGTTTCACCCATTTCAACCCTCAGACTCTCATTCTACCAACCGACATGAAGAAATCTTATTGACCAGTAGGGAGAGGATTGCAAACAAACTCAAAGCTCATCAAGAGAATCAGGACAAAGAGCTTCCTTACTTTCTTCCGTTAGATCTGACATCTCTTCCTTTGAATTGACCACTACATATGTTTGCAGCAAGATATGTATCCACAAGGTCGGAATTTGATTACACCCTGGTGCCTCATGCTTGTTTGACAGCTCAGAGTCCAAATGAACAATGAAGCACCATATTTTTTACCCAGTCTTTGGGTTTTTGCATGTTTGCAGAAGATCAATCAACTTTTTGTATTCCATTGCTTAGTTGTAACAAGTAATAGAATTGGTAGAACATTGACAAAGCCAAGACAAATTATTGATTACACTCAAGACATCGAGAAGTTCAAAAAGTTTCTCAATCTATATATGAATTCGGGTTTGTTTACTTGATGAGACAACGGTTATAGGCCGATCGAAACCGAGGATGGATAAACCAAATCTAATCTGTTTGAAAAAGATCAAAGCATTTAAAAGAGACAGATAAGCCCAAAAAGATTGATCTTCGAATGGGTATGAAATCAAGAAAGTTTGAAAGCTATAAGATTTTTTGATAGTATGTAGAATCTCTGAAACGTTGACTAAAATGAAAGTTCAGAAACATCTCTGTTTCCGAAAAGGAGATTCGAAAGCAAGGAAGTAGAAAAAATGAACAAAAAAAGGAGTATACAACTCAATTTGATGTCAGTGTTTTTGGATGAAAGGGGGGTTAACCATTTGAGAATTTGCATTCCAATTTCCACAAATAAAACCTGATATGTTTTTGACTACTCCTAAGATCGGAATAGGCGAAACCCGCCTTGCCATGTAAGTTGAGAAGGGGGAGTCGGGAGTCCGAGAGCCCGTCGATGCGCTGAAAGTGAGAGTTGATATAACGTTGGTATTTTGAAGGCATCACAGTTGCGGTCGACTTGGGGTGAGGTGGTGAAAGAGGTGGTAATCGATTAAGTGGAGGCGTGGATTAGACAAGGGGGGAAGAGGACAGAGGACAATAACACGGCCTGTCACACCGGTGCGTCACATGAATGAAAGGTCTCACCAAGCTTTCATTGGGGATGTGACGTGGCGGAAAGAAAGCGTGAAAGAAATGTGCTGGATTTCACGGGTGAGGGACAGGTCACTGAAAGGCCTGACTGTCAGTGGCCTGACAGTACTGTCAGGGTTGTCCCGATAGCCTCTCGTTCTCCTCTCTATTCCCAGAAAGAAAACCTTTCATCTCTTCCGCCAATTCCTTTTCTGTTAACTAACCATAAAGAAAATCAAAACATAACCAACAGTATAAACTTTCTTCTGAACCATTCATACCTGAATTAATTTCCTTAAATCCTCGACCTCAAGCATCAAATGACGAAAAAAAAGAGAAGAAGTAATAAGTGTTATAATTTTTTTTTATCTTTCAAAAAAAAGACTAAACACTAGTCATATACACACATCTCTCTCTCTACACACACACACACATAATCACTCAAATCACTTCACATCACACAACAGACAAATCAGAATCAGACAAAAGAAAAATCACACACACACACATATATATAGATAGATATATGTTCCAAGATGATCAAATCAGAATAATAAAAGAAACTCCTCTTTGTTATAGTTATTTTTTTTCTCATTGGTTTCCAAAACAAAAAAGTAAATTGATGTTTTCTTTAAACAGGTACCATATTAGGATGAGAAGATCCATTGTTATTGTTATTAGTATTGTTAACTAAGATCCTATGTTGTTGGGCAGGTAAAGGTTGAGGATGTTGTATAGGTAATGAAACTGATTGTTGTTGTGCTTGTTGTTGTTGTTGTTGTGATGTGGTTTGTTGATTGGGTTGTGAACTTCCACCTACTCCTGTTCCTCCTCCTAATGAATGATGTTTCCCATGTGGTCCACTTGTAGTATAAACCAAACTAATTTGTTGAGCTTGAGCCAATGCAGCCGGATTAGTTGCTAAAGCAGGTTTAGCCTACGAAAATCACAATAGAAAAACTTAGAATTAACATAATATTATGGAAAAAAACGATTGAAAAAATTCACCTCCAATTGATCATATTGTAAAACGAATTCTTTTGTAACTCGTTTCCAAATAATCGGATCAAAAAATACATAAAATCCTCTTTCATAATGTGGTGTTTTTTCCATGGGTCCAGTTCCAGACTCTTTCGTTAACCAAAGTTGTAATTCTTTATGATACCTCCAATTCTTTTTATATCTAAATCAAAAGAAACCCTCCCCGGTAACCAAAAAAAATCAACAACCATTCTGTGTGTTTTTTCAAAAAATGCATAAAAAATTACAAAGAAAGAATTCAACTCACAATTCAAGTGCTGCCAATTCTTGCATCAAATCTCTAGGTTGTGAATAAAAGATAAAGAATAAAGTTTCCTCATGAAAATGTGGTAATTTTCCTTGGACTGCTTGTGGTTGTACATGATAACAGGCAGGTAAATTGAAATCCGGTTCAACTGATTGTGAACCAACTTGTTTTGAATCTGACCAAGGTGTCATAAAACTTGGATACAATGCCCTACTCGTTCATGAAGAAGATGTGTAGATTAAATCATGAAAGATATCAGAAAGAAGGATCATCAGTTGACATTCAAAAGGTCAATAGAACTAGGTCAACAGATACGTACTCCGATGATCCTAAATCGAGTCCCAAATGCGTCAAATCTTTTCCGAGTGTAAGCATCGAATAATCCGGATCGGCGTGCTTAATGATCTGTAATAAACCCATCAACCCAAACCGATCTGCAGGTCCAAACAAGACTTGTTCTGCCGGTGTCTGTGGTGCAAAGAATGGAGCAGCATTATTGGAATTATTTCGATTAGGATGATGCGAAGGATCTAAACCACCAGGATGATCTAGTGAAGAGTTGAGTTGAGAAGATGGATCGATTCCTCCACCACCGCCTCCATCAAGATTTGTAGGATCCTGTAAAGCTTGATTCTGTGAACCAGTTGAATGAAGTAAAGTCGTATTTGACCCTCCATTTGAAGTATGAAGCGTTGTATTATTGGGTCTATGAAGTTGCATATTCTGTAGGTTAGGTGGTATAGGTGATCGTATGTTACTATGCATTTGTTGATTCGTCGGTAGGATTGTACCAGGAGGGTGTGAGAGATGAGAGCCATGTTGTTGATGATTATTGGCATTACCAATCCCGTTCGATAGATGAGAAGAACCGACTGGAGCTCCATTGAAAGCTTGACTTGGATCGACCATCTTTGTAGGGAATGTCTATTGAAAATATGTCAGCGTTGTGTGATAAAGTCGGATGCAATGGATGTGATGACTGGGAGAATTGTCTCAAGGAAGGAGTTCAGATAGCTCATGTTGCGTAAGCGATGAAATGGCATACAGACGATACGGTCTTTGCGTTCATAATACATGGTCTCAGCAAACACGGTGGATGTGAACACTGAGGTGATCTCAGAAATGAGTTTGGAAGTTCCGCGTTGCGTGCTTTATGAAGCAAAATGCATCATTGCGCAAAGCACAGGTCATAGGCTCGAGTGGTCGCGCAGATATAAGAAAAATGAATCAGTGATGCACAATGACATACCCTCTGATCGCTATCTGTTAATCCTGTTTGCTTCAGATGAGCATTATGTCTTGCGATCTGAGTAGTCAATGCAGCAGCTGCACTAGCCTGTTCCCTAGCTTCTCGAGTGTTGTTCCCTTCTGGACCAAGAATTGGTTGTTGTTGATGTTGTTGATTGATTGTAGCATCCAATGCAGGGAAATCGTCAGGTGTGAAATCCGTTCTCTGACCAGCGAGTGTAGAAGCAATACTCCTATCTCCAGTTAGACCATTCGTAGAGGGGATGTTGACATGTGAGGCGTATGACAAGGTTCCGTTGGCAGGGTTATTAGAACTCGGTGGGCCTGCACCTAAGGCAGGAAATTCTGATGGATCGAGAGAGGCTTCTTCTTCATTTGTTTGCTGCGGTGCTTGGTGTGACGAGGGCATGTGACCGACTAGTCAAAGAGATGCATTCATTAGTGATGAAATCTTCTTAGAGATGCAATCCGCGCAAGGCTTAGGCCTACCATATATCATTTCATGATATATGGTAAAGACATGTATGATCGATTTAATGAATGGAATAACCAGTAAGCAAGCTTACCTGGAACACCATTAGCATTACTACTAAAGTTTCCTAACATTCCAACCCCAGAACGATTGTTAAGACCAGGAACCGTTGACAAAAGAGATCCAGGAGCAGGAGAAGATTGTTGAATTGGAGGTCGATTGTTATGTGATAATGATGAAAATCCTGGCATACTTGTTATTAGCCCTTGTCGCTGACCAGGGGCATTGAATGCCATTGAAAGATCGAGATAAGATGGTTTTGAACCGTTGTTCGGAAAATAGGATAAATCGAGTAGCTTTTGAGATTAACAAATATGGTAAATACCTGTTCAAAATTGATTGAATACAGACAGACTTTAGCTTATAAGCTTTGAAAGGAGGTTTTCAAGATATGATGAGATGGACTGATCAGTATTTGAAACGCACCACTGAATGAGAGATTGAAGTATTGATGCTTTTTGATAGATAGTGTGGCAAGAGGTGCTATGGTTTGAGTTAGCAGGAAGCCAATCGAGATGAATCAAAAGGTATATTGAGTTAGTTTTGATGGATTGGTTGATTGATGGTGTTTGATGATAGTGAGGTTGAGTGGTTGAGGTTGAGTGGTTGAGTGGTTGAGGTTGAGGCTGAGGATGGTTGAGTAGTTGAAAGTCGAAGAGTGGTTCTTCCTTTTGGGGGGTGTGGTTATACTGATTGCACTAGTTCACAACAGTACATAACACAAGCCAGCAAAGTTAAGGTTTCAATTCAAACCTAAACTAAATTAAATCACATACTAAACTAAACATGGGATTAGGTATACCCTAGGGAACAGTCCATCTAACCCCATACCTTCAGATCACAACCTCTTCACACTCTTATCAACAAATTCATCTGAGATCCCCAAATTGCATGGCAAAATATGTATCAATGAAGGTTACAAGTTAATTGATACAAATGAAGGATACAAAAGATGATCATAGCAAAGAAGAGTGAATAAGAAATTTGATACCTTGTAGAATTTTCAAGCAAATACCAAGACCATTGTACTGTCATTTAGGGTACTCAAAGTAAGTATGCACACATACATACTTTCGTGTGCATACTTTTTTTTGGCGGGGAAAAAGAAAAAAATATACTTTTGGCCTCGGTCTCCCCGCCAAAAAAAAGTATGCAGCGAAAAGTATGTACGTGTGCATACTTACTTTGAGTACCCTAATTGACTTCATTGCCGTGTACATATGTGTATGATCCCATGATGTTTACTGTGATTGCGTACTTGGTTAAACATGATATAATCAAAAGAAAATTGAATAGATAGTCCCCGGATCATTATCATTATCATGCTGCCTGTGATTTTTTTATCGCGCTGCCCAAATCTGAATTTTCTGACCTAGTGAATTAAATGATCAAAGGATTCTTATTCAGAGCACTGAGTTTATGAGATCAATGCAGACACGTATGATGTTCAGAGTATTAGGTACGTTCTGAAAACAGATTCTCGAGGAGAGTGGCACATTCGGAAGAAAAGGTGTTGTACTTCAAACTGCATAACTAGATATCATATTGCTTAAGAAAGAATCTGATTACAGCGGTCATAAACGAAATGACAAGGTCCATGATTCTCTGAAGAAAAATAAAGTGATAATAAAATGAATTTGAAGAGCTGATACATAGAAAAATTATAAAAACGATGAAAAATGAGAGCGGTTCCATGAAAAGGTCTCTAAACTCAACCAAAGATTTCTTGCTTAGTATAAGCTTTAGATGAAGTATGACCATTAGTAGTTTGAGCTACTGGATACTCTAGAAAACCAGCAGATGAAAATTCAATGTTTCCTGCTGCTTTCATATTCCAACCGTCTTTATTTAAACTGGCTGGAGGTTTGGCATTTTGCATTACGACCTTTGGATTCGAACCCCAAGCTCTTCCATAGTAAGTAGATTGAGCAGCAGCACCATCAATATCTTGAATGTTGGGATTTTGAAAAACAAAGATTCCTGCCCGATTTGCAGTAATACTAAAATGACAAATTATAAACCATTCAAAGGTCAGTAGGCATATATTTCCGAGAGTAATGATTATCGAACTTGAAACTGGATGCAAAAAATGTACAAATCACTTACACTTGTTTTCCTCCTGAGACTGACTTGAGAATACCGATTTGTGGATTCGAATAGAAGCTAGTACCTGAACCAAATATAAAATCTGAAAGAAACTATCATAAGTTATTCTTACCAATCACTCTTCAAAATGCGCATAAAAATCTTACCCATTGCACCTATGATCTCACATCCATCGAAGAGATGTTTACCACTTTTATCATATAATGTGTCTTGATATCCTTGGAAGCTACATTGACCGTATACTATTTTATAGAATTGAGTCAGTTTCGCTGCTTGAGATGAATATGTTGAATGAGGCTTGAACTATCAACTTTGGCGAAAAATACTTACTTTGGTTGTTTCCAGCTGCTGTCAAGGCCACAGCTTGTGTATCATGACCAGTACCAAAGTTATTGATAAAAGTACTGAATAAGAATTGTCGATTAGATAACGTAGGTCTGATTTTGATTTGAAGAGAGACAGCATAGCTGATCAACTTACATGCTATAGACTTCAACACTAAAAAAAGTTCACATTTGTCAGAATCAACGAGTTTCATTTCCTATTTTGGATGTATCTAGAGAGGGGAATTGCTTACTTGTCTGCAACAACTTGTAAAGCTGAAGCCACATCTAAGCCTTTCTTTGAGGAAATGACTCTAACACGATTAGACCGGTAGCTGCTGGCACTTCCCTGTGCTCCCTGTAAGACTACACCCTGAGAGTCAAAGCAAACCTTGTCAATCAATAGTTCAAGACCTTTATACGATGAAAAAGCTGACAGCATTATAACCCTTCAAGACAGCATTGTCATAATAGTCCCCTAGAAAGATTTATTAGCCATGTCACATATGTGTGGGTAGATGATCAATACTCTGAACTCACCTGGCTGCAATAAGATAGCCTGAGGTCCAGACCTCCCTTTGAGTTGAGCAAGCGCCGCGGTCAAACTGTAGAGCGAAATGTCAGAGAGCTCTAGCCACTTTTGTGTCCAGAAAACGATAAAGTCGTGGTCCACTCACGTTCCTTGCCCTGGTTGAACCACTATGGTACCTTGGGGGTAATTCGATTCATCGATACGACCCCCTATGGTCTGCTCAGCGAACATTAAGCCACCAAGCAAAAAGAATAGGTTCAAATGCATGATGATTGATCTTATAAGAGTCTTTTGATCGGTTCGAGATAATCAAAGATAGACTTATAATAGAAAGTATAAAAAAATATTGCTAGATTACGATGAAGATTATAATTTATTGATTGATTTTATAGGAGCTCTTCAATCGGGTTTAAAAAATGAGAGATTGACTGGTGAATAGTATAAGAAATCCTGGGATCACGATGAAGTTCATAAAATATCGATAGAGGGATGAGAACATGACATTTTTTCTTCATAAATCATGCCTATTTATCAACGAGAGAATATGGTGAATCGAATTACACATATCCTCATTCCTTTGGATGTTCACCCACAACTGCTCATACAAGTTTCGGTTACTCGCTGGTGTCTGAGTGTGATGCTGTTCTCCTCGGGCGGGACTCCCACGAGCGTCCACGAGCGTACGAATGGAATCAATCCTGTACTATCGTCAAAACAAATAATTCATGTTGACTGTTGACGGTTTAGTCTTGTGACGTCGGGACAAGTCCTCTCCTCCGCTGATAAACATAACAAAGTCTCACGCTCGCCTCGCGAGGTGCACGAGCGTGAGACTTTGTTAAGTGTACTCCACCGACGTCATCCTCACAACAGGGTCTTGTACATAGGACTTGTTCCATGAATACCAATAAACAGAGCACGTCTTGAGACAAATTGTGCCCTTGTGCAATGTGCAATGAAGACGAAATGTCCGTGGTTATGTTGCAGCTGTTGCTTGGTGGGAAAGGAAGAGTCCATCAATTTTGAAAATTCCTTCAAGTTTCAAATCAGCATGGCTGTGCTCAAAATACCAAATTCTCACTGTAATTTGTGGATATTGCAAGGAGATATATGTACCAGGAATCAGGATACACACCACTGATTAGTGATCACGCGTACAATTGGTAGATATCTGGATCAAATTTCAAAGTTGGATTCTCTTTCTCACAAGAAAAATAAATGATGATCCCAATGTACAGCATGAAAGGATTCCATATGGCAGATATGTATATATGGGTATATATGTTGGTACTTATTATGGTCATCTATGATCATCCTCCGCCCGGATGCCAGGAGAGGCCAGAGTTCTGAAATCTACGAGAGTACTCGAACAAGAGTGAAATCCCTAGCTTAACACAGGCCCCACCAACCGCAGAGACGCCCCCCGGAGCCAGCGGAGGCGGGGCTTGTAACTTATTGTCCAATTTGGCCAGATATCAATTTCAACCTGGCTGGGACTATGTCCAGCTAGAATTTCCCCATGTTGCATTGAGCAAACCATTCAAAGTGTGGTTGAAAGTCAAAGCACCAATTTCTCTGCATCTTTTGCTCTCTTGAGATTTTCCATATTGCTCATGATTGCCTGAGAATCTCAATGTCTAAATTTATTTATTTATTATCAAAATTTTACATGTGATTCTGCTGCAATAACTGGTGTGTTCCCACATTTGACTGCACTTTACATATCTCTCTGAGAGCCTTGTTTTTATGACCTTTTGCTCTCCTTAAAATTTCTATTGCTGTCTTAGAAGCTGCTATATCATCAAATGAAACAAAAACCAAAAAAAATCGAGGTTTTGCTTACTGAGACTGCTGTGACTGCAGTCACTTTACACACACTTAAGTCCCTATTTCCCTCTGCTGAACCATAGGTTCTCTGAGATTCTTGTCAGAGAGAGAAAGTAAGCATTTTCAGTCCTATGACTGTGGCGCCAAAACTCACAGTGCTTGACTGTCACCTCAAGCACAAATTTCCCTATCAAGTCCAAAAGGACAGCGTCTTGAGAATTTGTGGGTTATTGATAGGACACACTGCAGTGTATATTTAATGTGAAAAGTGTGAGAAATTGAAAAATGACCATTGGTACCACGTGAGGAAATGCAATAACTTGTAAGGTTTTCCTTCACTGGCTCCAGAGGACGCCTGTGGTTTGAGGAGGGAATTAGTTAAGTTAGGTGACAAATCCAGAGCCATGTCAGGCATATGTAGCCATTTACAGAGCCACCCTTGAAAACTGCAGGGACTAATTTGTTCACCACATCCAATTGTAGTTTCTCTTCCTGTAAAGTACCCAATGCAGATCATTGTTGAAACTTGAGACAGATTCCATTTGAGCCATCCAAAGACAAAAAGTTTTGATTGGTTGAGTATTTGTTGTAACTTCTCAAAGATTACAACAGCAATGTGTGGTTGACCAACCATTTGCACATCTTCCATTTCATTACTCTCCTCTAAAATGCCATAATATTGGACATAACAGATGATCATTTAATTTGCTGGTCAACATTTTTGGTTGTTTGAATTTGTGCAAAGACTCAATTACGGGATACAAAGTAGAATCCGGGTGTGTGCCCGGATTTGTGCCCAGTTTTTTTTGGCAGTAAATTTGAATTCTGGGCCCGGACAATTGCTCAGAAAATCAAAATCTGCCAAAATAATTCCGGGCACAAAGCCCGGCACGTGCCCGGATTCTACTTTGTATCCCACAAATGTTTCAATCAATTTGTGGCCTACCAATTCTAAGAAGTGACCATCAGATGTCTTTTGTTACACATAGATGAAACATGGTCATTCAGGGATCCTTATGAAAATCAGAAATTGAGATGTAGAATGTGGGTAATGAAAAGCCACAATAGAGAAAAAGCACTGGTGTTTCACGCTAGCATGTACAGCTTGAACTACTTCCAAAAAAAGATGACCTTCTGAGCCCTGTACACATGTTTATTGATTTGGCTCACATCCATAAGTATCCAAACCCACAATATCCAATCTCGGGAAGTCCTCCAGATTTATGAGTAATACGGGTCCTCAACTGCACTTTGCCCGGCAGAGACTAGAGATTTGCAGACAAGCCAAAATTTGGAATGTGTGTAATATTAAAAAATCCCTCTGTAAAAAAATTGTACAAATGAATGTCAAGGGTCTCAAGGATTGAATCTTCCAGTCAATTTCTTGCAGTCTTTGTTGTCCATCAAGAACCAAGGCTGTGATTTTTTAATTTTTTGTTTGAATCAAGATTGTTTGCAACCTTCATGTTCTCTAAGAAGATAGGGTTAAAAAAATCAATATTTTTTTTTGTTAAAAATATAGTTCAAGTTTATGTTTCAAAAAAGAGAGAATTCTTTCCACCTTGCTCTGCTTGATCAATGAAGAATAGGCCTGATGGCAGGATGTGAATGTTCAATCATGTTCTTTCAACCATAACTACAACCACAACCACCCCCTGTCACATTAAATGCTTTTGCATTGACCTACTCAAACACAATCATACAAGAAGATGATAAATTCTGGAAATATCAGCTGTAGGCATGAATTAATATAGTCATGATTGAAGTCCTTTCAAGAGGTCAGTTTAAGCTTCTTACTCTCACTTCACTTGTGAGGGGCCAGCAATTATTTGGCTGAAACTTCACTAGAGGATGAAGTGCAGACAAGAATAAAGTCTTCACTTGGTGCACCCAAGTGAAGACTACAGTCAGGTGACCTCTCATAACATGATTGGGTGCAGTGGGATGGCTGAGCTGTCCTTCTTGGATCTGGCTCTGATCCTGGTTCATATAGCTCTGCAGCTTGCAGTGCTTTATACCCTGAAGAATCAGAGGCACCGCAGGGGTAGTTTATACTCTGTGATAGAAGAACCTAGTTGTCAATTCCAAGCTTGTTCTTGTAGCTACTTCTACCACTAGCTAAGAACATGACTTGAGGTTCTACAAGGACCTGAAAAATAAAGAACTAAGATTAACAACTTACAACAGCATCACTTTACTCAAAATTCTTGGTCAAAATCCAAGCAAGCTGTAAATTTGAGTTGCATAATGATATGAAGTTGGCTCCTCTTCAAAAGTGAGCAGAGGAAGGGTTTATATATTCAAGACGTAGGTGTCAACGTGTGGTTGGCGCTTAGGTTTGTCTTTTTCATTGGGTTAGGTTTAACTTTACTACATCAGTCATACTCATGTCTTATTGTGTTAAGTGACTCTTGACACCAAGCCATGAGGTGTGAATCTTATGGTTTTAGACAAGTTACATATGATTACATATGCAAACCCAAATTTTGGCCTTGATCAATACCAGTTTTGTTGCTAGTTCTGCAAAAAAGAAAATCAACACAAATTTCCATATTGCCCATCCATTCTGGTTTGAATGTTAGGGCCCATTCGGTACGATTCGATATACGTATATCGTGATATACTACACCAAACCAATATACAGTATATCACGATATACATATATCAAATCCCAAAAAAAACAGTGGTGTTCGGACAATTTATTTGGACAAGAAACCAAATCGTATAAGAGCATCTCCAACGCGGACCTGATCTGTAAAACAAATACAGACCCATTTAGCTTGCTGCAAAATTTTTGACAGCTGTATTTACTTTGCAGGTTTGTTGCATCCACCGCGCACTTGAGGTATAAGATTTTGAGCTCCTACCCATGCCCAATATGCCAAATCCTAAACCAATCGAGCCTCCAATCTTTCATCGATCGATTATTGTTGCCTCGCGGCGATAAGACATATTAAGTTTTCGATTAAACCTTTTCTCTTTCATCTGTTGACCAAAGGAAGCGCACGAACACGGCCATATGATGTCCATAAGGACTTACATATGTCAGTGGTACTATATAATGTACTGCTTCCTGTCTTTTACATTTGCCTGCTCATATATTATCGTAATCAACTTGTGAATATATCCACTGTGAATATATAACGATCTCTTTCTATTCCATTTTATTTCAAGTCTTGTTTACTTTCCATATCGCATTAACACCATGAGCGGTAACTTTATTCAACCATCATTCATCGCACAATATGTTGTCATTATGGGTCTCTCCTCAGAGCTTATCGCTCAGTTTGCTTCGCACAACCGAGAATTGCATGAGTATCTCACTATTTCCCATATTCCACGAGGACCTGGAGGTTCATATCCAGGAAGATCCGCCAACCTAGCCAGAGATTGTGTCGCCGGTAATGCCGGTTTATTACGTGACTACTTCAATTTGACTCCGGTTTACGGGGAACTGCTGTTCCGTCGGCGTTTTCGAATGTCTCGCCGCCTTTTCGTTCGTATCATGACTAAGTTAGGGGAGGGTGATCCGTACTTTACGCAGAGAAGAGATGCTTTAGGTATGGAGATTTTGTGATTGCTTAGATTGGTCGAGCAAACTATCAATATTGACCTCACTTGTGTTCTTGTACTCAGGCAAACTAGGACTATCGCCGTTCCAGAAATGCGCTGCTGCCATTCGCCAACTCGCGTATGGCACTTCGGCCGATTCCCAGGACGAGTATCTACGCATTGGTGAATCTACCGCCATCGAAGCTCTTAAGCGTTTCTGTCTTGGGGTCATTGTCGCTTACAAGGAAGAATATCAAAGAAAGCCGAATGCCGCCGACATTCAGTCTATCCTTGCCGAAAACGCCGAGCGAGGCTTTCCCGGCATGCTTGGCTCCCTTGACTGCATGCACTGGGAGTGGAAGAATTGTCCCAAGGCGTTGAATGGCCATTATACTGGCAAAGACGGCAATCCGACTTTGATACTTGAGGCAGTTGCCACTCAGAACGTTTGGATCTGGCATTCGTTTTTTGGATTACCTGGTAGTCTAAATGACATCAATGTCCTTGAACGATCACATTTATTTCAGGACCTTTCTTTGGGTAATGCTCACGCCTGCGAGTATACTGTCAATGGGCATCAGTACACCACCGGTTACTACCTTGCTGACGGCATATACCCGGAGTGGGCTACCCTGATCAAGACGTTCTCTAGTCCTCAAGATCCGAAAATTCAGGCTAGTCTTTATCTCTTCCAGTTATTGTAATACACGCTAGACAATAACTCTGACTGAATCCTTTCGAAACAGCTGTTTGCAAAGATGCAAGAGGCGTATTGAAAAGACGTGGAGCGCGCTTTTGGAATCTTGCAAGCGCGGTTTTCCATCATCAAAGGCCCTTCGAGAATGTGGCAGCCTTCAACCCTCTCCCTCATCATGAATTGTTGCATTATTTTGCACAACATGATTGTTGAGGATCAGGCTAATGAGCCTTGAGGCGCGAACGATGTAGACATCTTTGACCCTCCGGTTCCTCCACCTCCTCGGCTTCCTCAACCTGCTCCAACCTTTGCTTGCTTCATGCAAGGTCGGGCATTTCGCGCCCAAGCCAACCATGTCGGTCTCCGTGACAACCTCGTTCAGCACATATGGAATATGTTTGGTTCTGACGAATCTGACAATGACAATTAGTATAGTAGATGTAAAGGATTTTCGTTTGCCCTTTTTCCATGTTCTCGTCAAGATATTTCAATCATTTCTTGTCTCACAGATAGTAGTTTAATTTTTGTCACTCGTTTGGTTACCCTCTCCTCTCTTCCCTTTCAGTCATGTCTTGTTTTACTCCCTCACTCGTTATCAGATGGTAGTTTATTCTTTGTCACTCGTTTTATGTTTTATTTTGTTGAATTTTCCCTCTTCTCTCATCCTTAGTCCTGGTTGTGATTTACTGTACATATTTTTGTTTGTAATCAATTGACCGAGTGATCACAAACAAGGATTGAACCTTTGTACCAAGTTTCAATCATCTCGAACCTTGTTCGAGCCGAGCTCAGTTATTCCGGCCAGGTGGATAGTAAACGTAAACATACGACTCAAGAAATCATGCGGTTTTATTTGCTGGAATGAACTACAACAAATAGAGACATAGGATAGAGACATCGGAAACATTCATTGGGATGAAATACAACATAAGCCAGAGATGTACCGGATAACATATGAAACATCAAACATATCCAAAGGATGAGCGTGGAGATTTAAGGTCACCTAAATGACCAACCAACTACAAAAACATCTACATAGCATTCACACGGATTTGGAGCCACTCCCACTTGGCCACGTTATCAAAATCATTGACAAATTGAGCACCTAAACCTCCAGTTCGTAATAAATGAGCGGCAGCTTCCTTCTCGCCGGGCCTTTGAAGGTAAGGTCCGGTGTAGCTGTAGACCTGATATAGGGCTTCCCGGAGCACTCTGAAGTCTTCTCGGCGCTTATCTTGGATGACCTTGATAATGCGGCGCAGGGCTCGCTTTGATTCACGCAAGCGTATGCATTCTTCGACTCGCTCGAGTTCCCTCTGGGCTTGTGGACTCAGCGTGAGATCAATCACGACAGGGGGTTTTCGCCTATCAGTTGGGCTAGAGGTGAGATCAATAACCAGAGGAGGAGGTCCGGTTCCATTGTGTCGATTGAAACCCTGTGGAATTGCAGGCCTAGCAGCTTGGTTCCTCACCACTGTAAATTGAGTAAGAGAAAATGTTAGGTTTTGTTATACGTGATTGACATATAAGGACATGATCACCTTGGTTATCAGGGGTAGTGATTAGGCATTCTACGTTTGCACCCCGACGATACGGATTGAAGCGGGTTCCAAGGTAAGTTACTGCATAAACAGAAAAAATTAAATCAAAGGTCAATCATTTGGACTGATATGTATTATTACTGAGTTATTGGGTACTTGCTTTCAGGTGAACTAGGAGGAGTAGTCCGGGGGGTTGATTGCATCGGGCCATGAAGCACAAACGTGGCACTTGAACGCGAAGAGGAAGGCATTATGAATCTCTGGTATTTGTATGTTATGTTCAAAAACGAGTGATGCTTGTAGATTTATTTAAACTATGTATACTTTGTACACTATAGGACAAAACATGATGAGCAGGTATATAACACAGTAGTACGTTGAAGGAGAGATTGAGAGAAGTAGAAAAACACAGAAAACAGGCGTTATTTATAAGAAACAAGAAAGGAAACATGTGAAAGTGGAAGGAGAAACAAGCTTGAACGCAGTCGTACGTGCGCGACCCAGATCATTCATGACAACGGAGATCACCAAATGAACAATATCCAATAGAACAAATCGGATGGAACATTCACAACGCTAAAGTCAAAGTTAGTATTATATACATACACAGAAATATCTTCATGATAGAGTTAAAAGAGGCAGAGTTAGACATAGCCAAAAATGAAATCATTCAGCATTGCGACGACGAGCGGCCCTGCGTAGCAAGAGGGCCTCTTTGTCTGCTTCCAGGGCTGCGCGGACGTTTTCGTTGAGATTGGAGGTGTCAGTCTGCAGGAGCGAAAGCTCTAGCATAGCTTCGAGAGATGAGCTTGCCCTGTCCAAATGACTAGCAATACAATCAGTAGCATTTGCCGTACTGGTTGAGTTCGCCACGATCTGGCTTGTTGAATTATCATCGTTGGCGTTTTGAGAGCGCTTAGAATTCTTACTGCCCGCTGGTCTATCGAGAACAGGCAGTTTGATGTCGCCAATTGAAGAAACAGCTGGAATGGCGTCCAGGTCAACGAGTTGATTACCAGGATCATCATGTTTAGAGGCCTTCCGTTTCCGACCGCAGTATTCGATGTACTGAGGATTGTCAGTCCATTTGGCAGAGTGCTTGACAATATTATAACACGATATGTGAGTAAAAGCAGTCTTAACTTCGGTATTATACAAAGTTAAGGCATCCTGAAACTGGTCCTCTATAGTTTTACCCGTCTCTCTAATCATCTTCACTTGTTGTACACACGCGGCGAATCGAGCCATGCTTTTGTTGAGAGAGCTCCAACGAGATTGAATGGACTTGAGTGTACGCTTATCTTCTGGTTTGACCACTCCCAGTTGTTCATGGAAGTGGTCAGTAATTTTTTGCCAGAAAGTGTTGGATTTCTGATCGCTGCCGACTATGGCATCTTCTGATACGTTGAGCCAAGATTTGCAGAGTTGATCTAGCTCGTCTCTGTTGAAATTGGTACCGCGGCCTGTTCTCGTCGAGGTGCTTTCACTATTGTACTTCTTCTTGTTTTGGCTGATTGGTGAAGGTGAAACAATATTACAGGTAGATCGGATAGAAGTTTGAGATTGAGTAGGGAGGGATTCAAAGGTGGAACTCGAAACCGAAGGACGACAAAAAGAGGAATGGTTGCTGTACGGAGAAAGATTGCTGAGCTGGGAGTGGGAGTTGGAATCAACAGGTTCGTCGCGAGAAGTGGTTTGAGAGCTGATATGTGAATGATTGGAGAACTGAGAATAGGAATCAATGGGTTCATCGTGATGAGAATGAGAAAAGTGTCGATAGCCATTGTGGTAGAACTGGGAATGGTCATCAAAGTTATCGCGAGAGGCAGAGGGCGATCGGTGCGGCGTTCGTGGACCCGTCAATTGTTGTTGGTGAGCACGATGCTCAGCAGCTTGCCAATCTACAATATAAAACATTGTCAGACCCAAACCAAACAA